AGGAAATCTACATCCTCCATCTTGAGTAGGGTCAGGGTCAAAGGTTAGAGTGTGAAAGCGCCTTCTAGCGAAAATGCCCGGAAAGGAAATGACTATGCACCCAATATATTTGACTTAGGCCATGATGATTTCATTATATGGATGACATGATAAGACCCCCAAAACTGATGCGAGCGTGCAAATAAAAAAAAAGTTTGGTAAAAAAAAATGCTTTCAAGATGAAATCTACGTGGTCATAAAGGTTGAACAAATGACACAGACTATGGTATGACGATTTCTTTACATTTTCGTCTTTATCGTTTGATTTTAGCATTCTATGACATTGGTATCGTTTTTTTTTTCAAGTTACGGTATATGTTTTCTTATTTCTTGTTTTGTACGATTTACAGTATGGTTGAAAACATTTATTTGAAACGGCCGAAAATGCATGCGCGCGCGGATGTCATCCATATAATCAAATCAACATGTCCTTACAGCAATAGAAGAAAACACCTTAAAATAGCCGTATACTCTAAAACTTATTTATTTGACACGAGTTTATAATGAGTTGGCTTTGACATGTCATGAGAATAGGTGACTACAGAATAGCGAAATACATAAACTATAAACTAAAGGCCGCGTGGAGGCAGAAAAGAAGACAAATAAAAGATCATAAAAGAATGACGTGCCGATAGACGGATCGGTAAAGAGACTGCGGAGCTCCTTGTAACGAGTGACAGCAGAACTTGCCTACCTGCCTAAATGCTTTTTATAATAGGCCAGAACTGGCCCCTTGCTCCTCTTCATTTTTTCCCGCCAGGCATCACGGTCCTTAGCCTTTCGTTCAGCGTACTTGAGGGACCACCCCGTGTCCTGTACTATCTGGTCCCGCCATCTTTTAGGGGTCTTCCTCTATATATAGGTCTGGGGTTTGTGAAATCCTGATGGTAGGCCCCATATACCAAAGAGTCAAGAACTTGAACACCTCACAAAGTGGAGAAGGACATAAAGAGGTTTCTCATAGATTATGTAAATAACGTACCTAAATGAATAATACTAGTATATACTGATAATTCCAAGAATGGTATAGAAAACTATTACAGCACTCATTTATTGATCATGCAAATAATATTCACTTTTGCATGATCTGTGTCGAACCATGTTCGTCTAACTACCAAATGCCGCATGCATAATTACTACCAGTAACCACTATTGTGTGTGTTTGTGTGTGCGTGCGTGCGTGCGTGTGTTATATGAGCGTGGTCCTCCTTCCATAGCGACACCATGCGACACTATCACTTACTGCATGTATCCCATCAACAGTTGCGGTGCCAATTGAACCGTGCGTGAACTTTCATCTCGTGACTGACGCGCACTTCCGCACACCTGGTCCGCTCAGGTAAGCTGGCTCGAACGTAACTATTCATGAGAATGCAAAATTCTTCGGCATTTCTGGTCTTCTCACACGGAAATGATGTTAGATATTTGCGCAATGCATATATGGATCGTTCGAAATTGTTGCAAATGTTTAAAACTTTGTTTAACTCCACGGGAATAACTAGATGTAAATGTAAACACGAACCGCCCCCCTCCCAGTTTAGTGATACTTATCGAATTTACAATTTTCTTGCTGCTTGAAGTTTATCGATTAAAAAAAAAACTATGTAACATTTCTTCTGTTTTTGACATTTTACGATAAAGGTATAGTTGTTTACTACGGAAAAAGATATTTAGTCAAAAAGAAACATTTGTTGTATTCACTATATATAAAACTCTACGTTGTTTTTGCAGGGCATTTAATATGGCATTATGGCTTTTTTTATTATAGTTATTTCTATTTTTCTAGTTTCTTTTATCTATCTTTTTTAAGCATCCTTTGGAGTATGGCGGATCCCGACAGACATGGATATATTTGGTTCCGGTTTGGGCTGAACAAAAAGGATAAGGTAAGAATGACACGGGGTTATGTTGAACTTGAAGCAGTTTTCCTAATTTCAACGATATCTGCACTTGCTAAAGTCTGGTATAAATTGCCACCATTTCTATGTATCCTGTACACTATGTGCATAGGGAAGATTTATATACTGTTAGTGCCCCCTCATCATATCATATCATATAAATGCTATTAGAAGTCGCTCACAATGTATGACAAGACACAATCCCCCTCCCCATATATGTAATGAAATAGTCAAAATGGTGGGTCGAAATCCACTACGTTTTTTCAGTGGTGTGAGAGTAGGCGGTTATGGTGGCTTTGATGACTCCCGAGTGGCAACAGCACAAAGCACAACCGGCTGGATATTTGTACATATTTAAGTACCGACACACGACAACAGTGACTCAGACTTGTGGCGATAGAGCAATTGCTGAGCCCTATCTAGTCAGCTATTTGGGCCGAACTTTGGGGTCATCCCTGGACGTAAAATACAATGTATTTGATCAATCTTGAAAAACAAAAAATGATGATATTGATAAGCTTCGCCATTTTAAATGACGTAATTAAATCAGCGTAAATCGTGCTACTTTAATCATGTATAAGAGCCATGTGAGCATCAATTCACATGTAATTCTATCATAAGGCCATGAAATAACCACTTTGAAATTGTCAGCAGATATCCCCAAATCCGTTAGCTTGTTTTTATTTGATGAAAATTTATTACACAGTGATTGCAAAAGGTTACTGATTGGAATAGAATCAACCATGAAACATTAGCTTAATGGATCCAATAGAATGAAAATAACAATCGAATGTTGCTGTATTTGATGTTAATGTGAAGCGTACCATTATACATCGTACGCTGACCAATAGATGATCCTTGAGCATTACTTCTCATGCACTAATAATAATATTAATAATGCTGTGCCACAGGAGTTTGTAGACGCTATACTTGCTCTGGACAAAAACAAAGTTGAGCTGCTGCTATCGGAAGGAGCTGACCCCAATGTCGTCGATAAAAAGGTAAGTTCGCCGTACCACTTCGGAGTTTCTGACGATTACGCAATCTCGTGCATGCTTGGGGTTCCAGACCTCTCTATTATACAGGGTACTACTTTCATTGCAAAAAAAAACAAAAAACATAAATAGATACTAAGAAAAACCTCGCTGAAAAAAAAAATAAATTCCCCAAGAATTGATAGTACCAAGGTCCCTAACCACGTATTTGAGCGTAAGCGCTGATATTTTGGGGCTTAAACCTGGAATTTATCGCTAAAAAGACACTAAAACAACAAATCAAGAAAACGCTCGCAGCCGATAATCGCTTTTCTTAAACAAATAAATACATCCGCAACGTATTGTGGGATGACTTCATCAGTTAATGAGTAACTCCATCTAACCGCTGACCTCTTCTGCGCGCCGGCCTGCGATGTTTTTGAGATTCCCGCAGCTATAATTAATTAGTAAACAACATTTCCACGACCTCATACATTGGCCAAATGGTTTTAACCGTTCCGACTGACGAAATTATGCATTTTTCTCATTGATTATGCAAATAAGATCCATGATGAATCATATATCAGTTGGACATATTCTCCACCGAATGACTATCTTAACAGAGAAGGCTAATCTAGCACTGCGTCATAAATTATGCAAATGTTTAACTTCACTTAGCTTACAAGTAAGAACTATTTGGCAGTTACCACTGTACCACCTTTTCGTTAAAAATATTTCAGAGAGGATAACTCAAGAACCGGTTGACGGATCGTCGTAATTTTTTAGATGTAGGTAGCTTAATTAAATGATGTTTGACATAATATAATGATAATTATGCAAATCATGGTCTAATTTGCATGGGTAATAAGGAAATTCTCTAAATCTGCTGTGATCAATAGGAGGAGTATGAAATACTTGCGAAATATGTAGTTGACAACAAGAGGAACATTGACAGATGACCTAGTTTTAAAAAATATATAATCAATGAGAAAGTCATATAATTTGTAGTGGTAACTACTCGGAATGCAATGCTTGCCACATTTGGAAGTCCAATGAAGGTAAACATCAGTAAACATAACTTATTCAAGTCAGCTCATTTGCCATTTTATTAGGAAATCCAAAATGACATTAGGTGGATTTAATGATCAATTAACATAATACGTGCAGATAATGACTTGATTTGCATTAACACTGGGAAAATGTATAGTTAGTCGTTTCAAATAATTCATATGATTTGGCGAAGCCATGATGTATGTGTTAACACCATACAGATTGTCTTATTTAGAATCTGTATCTGTATGTATATAGGCGGTATTACCGTCTTTCGGCGAAACATACCAGCTTCGCAGGCACGCGGCGTGGCGGCCGCTGGCTATATTACACCGAACCCTTGAACTTCTAACTCTAGACATTGTTTAAAGCTAATTACAATGCCCTTACTGTACTTGGTAACAGTGAGTTCCATTCTGCGATACTTCTAGGAAAGAATGAATTCTTGAGCACCTCAATCCTTGGTTAACTAGTATTTGAAGGCATGGTTATTTCTTGTTCTCTTCTGGGCTGGTATTAGGTACTTAGTAGTTGGGACTTCCACCAGTTTATTAGTCATTTTGTACATCATGCATAGTCTGGACATTTTTCTTCTATCTTCCAGTGAGACCAACTGTAGGTTTCTTTTCATTTCCGTGACGATAGCACCTCTTTCATAGTTGTTCATACAGAACCTTGCAGCTTGATTCTGTACCCTTTCCAGTTTGTCTTTGTCATTCTTTGTATATGGATCCCAGAATTTAGGTTTTACCGCCCTGAAATTGCATTAGATGAGACTTAATTTGTGGCAACTTATGTGATGTCTCTTACAGATCTGTACTCCGCTACAATTCGCAGCGAGCAGCGGCCAGACAGACATTGTCCGAGTCTTACTCGCCGCCGGGGCCGATTATTCTGAACCTAACATACTCGGGGATGTAAGTAAATATACCTGCAACAAGAAATGATTTTTTTTAAAAAGTAGGTTTTATTGTATGTAGCTGTACCTTGCATAACTTTATCCAATTTGCTAGTTTTAAAAGTACGTTCCCATTATTGTATGCAAGAAGTAATATCTGAACGAAGCTGTTTATGCTACTATATACTAAATGATGATGAAATTTATTTTTCAATAGGGACTCTTGCACACGCCGCTGGCCTCGGCAGCTCAGAATGGCCACACAGAAACTGTACAAGTCTTACTCGCAAATGGGGCGAATCCTAATGCACAGTACAACTATGTCGTATTGGGAAGCGACGAAAGTTATGTAAGTAAATGTTAGAATTTTAGGCTAATTGAAACTATGCTGGACCTAAATGACTTTACAGGTCATGATCATCTATTTATTTTTATAAAAAGAATTCCTGTTGCGCTCTTTTATTACCGATGTGAATTTAAACCTAAACTTGTTCTGCTGTTTGATTTGCAGGAGAAAAAACCACTCCACCTGGCAGCTAGTAATGGGCACACGGAAACGGTAAAGGTTTTACTCAAAGCCGGGGCAGATTTCCGTGCAACAAATGGCGCTGTAAGTAGATCCATTGTGTATTGTAAAGAATGGTGAATAGTTCTAACATCAAACTTGACTCAGGAATAATGTCTTCCTTAGAATCACCTATATTCGCTATAGACATAAGATTAGATATTCTGACATCAAGTCAAGTCAATTTTATTTATTTCACCAGGGAATACCTCAGATCCATTGATCTGCTTTTCAGGTATCCCTGGGCACACATTAAAACATACAATTTCATAGAAATACAAATCGAACCCAACAATATACAAAAACGTTACAAACATGTACATATACAACACAGTCACATTATAGGCACATTTAGTTCATTTTCCAAATTCAGTCCTCTCCACTAGTCTACAGTCCGATTTTCTTTCTAAATGATGATGTTGACGTGATCAGTTTCCGCTGATCAGCAGCAAGACAGTTCCACAGGACAGGTCCTTGGTACTTGGTACATCTTTTGGGGCATATTTCAAGAAGCCGCAGCAGGTCATGTAAATCATGTGACTCTTCCTCCCTCTATCTTACCTTTCTCTCGCTCTCTTTTTAGCGTCACTCTCTCTCTTGCCATATTCTTTTATTAAGAACATTTGAATATTGAATGTTAACACTTTTTGATACTTGTAGTATACGCTGCCCTTCCAGCTACATGACATTATAATTTTTTTTTTCTCAGAACAAAACAGCGCTCTGCTTAGCAGCCGGGAAAGGCCACATAGAAACTGTGAAGGCCTTACTCGGAGCTGGGGCAAACGAGATAACAGACATTGAGCACTTGCATGTAAGTAGAACTGCACAGATATAACGTATTGTCTTCGTCAAGAAGACTATGAAATCGTTGTGTGGCCTGGTGTGGATTCGCATGTAGGTCGACGTTATAACTCGATTATTTGTCGGTACATTTTAAAGGCCCATTTTTTACGCCAAAAAATTGAAAATCTTCTGATTATACTAAATTTCGGTGTTACCAACAGTTACTATTACTTTTCAAAAGCTTTGTGTCATTATTTCATACTTTTGGCGTATATTTTTTTTGCGTTCAAACAGTCCTTGTTTAGTTCCCGGTGCCATAGGTTTGGACTCAGGACAACAACAACAACAGAAAGTGGTTCCCCCCCCCCTACGGTGGCTAATTGGTCGGGCATGCCAGGTTTGATAGACAGGGGAAAATGTCACACGATTAGCTTCTTTCAAAACACTTATATCTTTCACATAGGCTGGAATATAATTATGAACTTAGTGTATTTTGTTGGTCATCAATAAACTGTGGTTATTATCCTTTCAAAAGAGATTTTAAAATATGGTAAAAGATGAGGTCTTTCAGCAACTTGTAAGCTGTCAACTGACACCCCACTGGGAGGTCGGCCACACCACTGCCAGTGGCCAACCATATGTGCGGTGTGGCCAGAGGTTTGAATAGAAGATCATTCAGTTTTCTTTTTTTTTTTAATTAGTAACAAAGAAGTAACATAAATTTGGGAACCATCCATCCATACCTAATTGTCATCTCACGAAATATATAGTTGCATATAAGTAATATATAGTATAGTAATATATATATATAGTAAATACAGATAACGTTATATATAAAAATCAAATTTTACTTGGAATATGTTTTTAGCTAAGATATGAGTCATGTAACTGCGTTTCAGGGCACATCACTCCACTCAGCAGCCTCTGAAGGTCAAACTGAAATTGTGCAAGTTCTAATCGCAGCCGGGATGGACCCTTCTGTACAGAACCATTTTGTAAGTACACCTGTTGTGAAACAAGAAAAGCTTTTAATAAATCTGACATACACGTGGCCACGACAGGAGTAGCTGGCTGGGTGGTATGATGGTGCAGTGCACTATTGATGAATCGAACAAGATTTTTTTTAAGCTGGCCCGGCCTTAGATAAGAACTAGATGAAGGCAAGGTCAAGTCGGAAGAGCTTTTAAAAATATGGGATTTCGGCAGTGTTAAAAAGAAAATTAAAATAAATGTCATCAGCGGGATTCGAATCGGCGGACTTAGCTTCGGAGACATGGAAGACGATGCATCGAAGTGAAAAAGTTTTAAAAAAGAGTAACAATTTATTGACATTTCTGAGTAATAACTATTACTTATTGAATGTTAAAAGTAATACAACGGATGTTCAAGAGAAACAAGGCTGAGGCAATAAAAATCATTGCCAAGACGACGACTGAATGATATATATTATTTCATGTGGTGGAGCTAGCAATTCTACATTACAATTATCAGAAAAAACATATTTCCCTATGTTATAAAGACATGAAATGTACAGGCTGGGTGGAGGAGGTGTGGGGCAATATACCAAATACACGAATAGGAGGAATCAGCCGTTCTTCCCCAGCAATATAGATTTTATGATGACATACTTACTTACTTTACTTTGGTCGAGTTCCCGCTAGAACCAAACTTAAAACCATCCTCCACTTCACAAGAGACTGGATTTTATGTCTGGTCTGAAGTTGTTACTCCTTTGAGTTTGACTTTTTTTTACCTTTTGTGGGTTCCAAAAGGACGGATAATTTCTTTTCTCTCTGTGACCTGTTTGAATATGGTCTTTGGCCAAAGACAGCTGTGCTCTCTGTCCATGGTGTGGGGAGAAGACTGATGACCAGTAATTAATCATGTCAGGCAGCTGGATGGGTGGCACGTGGGCACCCCTGGTAAGTTACCTGCTTGATCCAAAAACCACATGGCCGAAGGTTTCCTCCAAACCAATTCCCTGGGGAATGCATTCATGTAATTTTTGAAATTCTTTCAAAGCGATCGTAGTACTTACACAAATGCCTCCGCCCCAAAGGCGTCGCCAAAAAACGCGATGTACGGAGAGGGATCACTCTCCCCTCTAGGCCACTAGAGCCATAGCATGGCATCGGTTCTATACCATGGCTTATGAATGGTGGTTCAATGTACCAAATACTCATTCAACATGCCAAGGCGCCAATGGCCGGAAAAATTTAAGTGATTGAGGCCAATATAGGTTTATTTTACTGTTACTTCGTTTATTCGTTTATTTCAATACCCTTTAGTCTAAGACGACTACTCTTCTAGGGTTCAAAACATATAAACATATGAAAATACTGACAACAAAATAAAAGAGAATGAACACGGCGGTCTGTCACTACGGCATTCTTTCCCATTGCTAGGCGCGTTCTAAAACGTATCGGGTTACAAGACACTATTTTGGCCTGTTTTTGACTACCCGTAAAACACTTGAAAATAAACAAAAAGGATTTAATGGTAAATTTCGTCGAATTAAAATGAACTTATTGCCTTAACATCCTTTTAATATTAGCTGTTTATGTTAAATCATTGATTTTTCAAATTCCGCTCCGAAAGACGATTTTTTTCGGGTTTCCGACCACAAGTCATGTCGTGTTTTTAGGCAAACATCGTTTTAACCTGGCTACGTATATTACCCAAGATCCCCGATTTTTATATTTTTCGACGACTAGGAATAAGATCAAAAATCGTGTTTTAGGGATTTTTTAATTTCTGATTTTAAGTCTAGTTTTTGTCGACATATTGGTGAAAAAAATGATTTTTTTTTACATTTTTCGCACTAAATTACCCATAATTCAAAATTGAGGCCATTTTTCAAAAATCCCTAAAACACGATTTTCGGGACAAACTTTACGGTCATTTTGAGCCGTTAGTGGGGTATGTTTGACTCTCCATGCGTGCAGGTTAAAACGAGTTTTGCAGACATGTCTTGTCGACCAAACGTCTGCCTTGTGTTATTCATACTGGCGTAAAGAATAATTACAGCATTCAAGGTCACTCAAGGATACGACAGTAGCTTCCCCAGGTGTTACATGTCCACAAAAAATGATAGCGGACATGTACTGTCCAGGAAACTGTCTGTATCTATAAAAAAGTGTTGTTTTTTATCTGTTGCAATGCACGGAGGCAGAAAGGCTTGTTTTGCCGCTTTATAGTAAATGACCGCAGGTGACCCCGAAATAGAACGCGGGTTCGATTCGAATTGCCCAGATCGAACACGATCGAACACAGTTCGGGTTCTATGACATGTGGGAACTTTGCAGCCCAGATTTTACGGCCGTGGAACATGCATAATCATCACAAATTTTATACAGGTTAAACAAAACGATCATGACTTAACTTAATATATACAACTTAACTTATGAACAACTGGTGGATGGCCTTAAGTTTATGAATTGATGCAGACTGGTCAGTGTTTTGATACTGGGTGGCATGCACGTGTAGTTACTTGCAGTTGTGCAGTAGACATTGCGCTAATTTTACCTCGCGATCGTGCTTATTAGCGGTTACGTGTAGTTAAGCATTGCGTCACTTTTATTAGCGGTTACGTGCGGTTAGATATTGCGTAAATGTGTGTCGACACATCCATGATCCACCATCCACGATCCACCATCCATAAAATGGACTGATGCCTGTAAGCACGGCGGTCACATTGTGGCCACGTGCAAAAATATCCGACGTATTCTAACGGATTCAATCAGGTTTTTAAAAAATTTTGCCAAAATGTCTGTTAATTATTTCTGAATTATAAGTTATAAATGATAATACGATGTCTGTTACAGAAAGACACGCCGCTCCACTTTGCAGCTAGTGAAGGTCACACTGAAACAGTCCAAGCCTTACTCTCAGCCGGTGCAGATCCTGACGTTGTTAACAGGATGGTAAGTAGACAAATTTCAAAAGTAGACAAGACAATTCTGTCAATTCACATCGACAATGTTTACAATTTTTTTGTAAAAGATATGGGAAATTCTTGCGAGGCTACATGTATTTGTCTTCTCTCGTTTGAACGTATATCGAGAAAATTGCACTAGTTTCATGTAGGAGGAGTACTGGCATTACGGAGTAAAATTGCATTTACCATTTATACAAGCTTTCCACATGCAATTAGAAGTTAAATCGCAAAAAAATAAAGTGACGTTTCATTTTGTAGTGGGACACACCACTTAACTCGGCAGCCACGAACGGCCACACAGAAACCGTGCAGGCTTTACTAACAGCCGGGGCGAAGTTTGACAATGTAAGTATGATACACCAGTATATATAGCTATCCACCATCTGGGTCTCGGCATAAAGTCAAAATGCTTGGTATATCTGGTGAAAGGCAATCTATTTTCTTCACTAAAAATCGTTTAAGTGGATTTTTTTTATTAGGAAGGAAACTTTTTTATGCAGCACATTGGGATTTTGAGAATACATGAAACCCCTTTTGATGTTGTTGGATTAATTTTGTTTGTAAACTGTAACAGTGAAATTTTAAAGAAGAATGGTTATAAACGGATGTTTTTAAACATGACATCGTATTTTTACATGTAAATATAAATGGATAATTTATTGATTAAAAAATCATAAGGCATATCAAAGTATTGATGATTTTATTGTGAAAAAAAGCTATCTAATCTCACCGAAGGCAGCAGAAAAGAAACAAAAAATAATCTGGCCATGGACATCAACATGGATATTTTACAGTCGAACCAATACATTAAATCATTAAGTAATGAAAAAAAACATGGCTGGTGTTACCTACAGCTGAAATAACTTTCATGAAAAACTGCCCCTGAAACTAAGATGCTGCATGATATATTTTTTTGCTACAGGCCAATACACCGGTCCACTCTGCAGCCACGAAAGGCCACACAGAAACTGTTCAAGCTCTACTCGCAGCCGGGGCAGATCCTAATGCACACATAGACGTAAGTACGCCTACTGCAGGCAAAATAACTTTTCTAATGGCTTGTTAGTTAGTTTTTTTTTTGTCATTTTGTTAACCAAATTATTACCCGTACCTAAAAATGAGATTTCTTTGCCATTAACGGACAAATGCACACTTTGGCTTCGGTGCCTAACCTTAAAACCAAGTCACCAGAAGAACACATTTACTACAATAAAAGCTCTATATATGTATACTAAAAGCACAACTGATAAGCCCCCAAGCCCTTTTCCGTAGAGCGTAATCGGCCGTTTTAATTCTACGTAGAGCGTAGACGGACCCTCTAATTCAACGTAGAGCGTAATTGGCGCATTTGGCGTAGAGCGTAATTCGCCGTTTTAATTCTATGTAATGCGTTGTAGCTATCGGGAATTAACCGTAAAGCGTAATCGATTAATTGTGCGTAGAGCGTAATCCAAGCCGCAAACGAGAACTCGAGGCCTAGCAAGTTCCGGGTTGTCGCGGCGCTCGAGGTCTTTCTTGCTCTATCCCCTTCTATACAATCAAACAATCCACTAGACTTGTTCCCAGAGCCATACGCAAGAACAAGGCAACACATGGGAATGATCCTAGCCTCCTGTGCAGGCCCCGCGGCGGTGGAGAAGAGTTTTTAAATCCAAAATCAATTTTCCCACGATCTTCCCAAAAAAATGCCGCCTCTTCCATTTTCAGCCATGGTAGTAGTTACTGCCATTTTGCAACAGATTATGAGAAATGTGAAATCAAACCTAGGCCTGAACCAGGGAATATCCTTCACTCGCGCGTACTACAACGG